GTTTGTTTGTTTGTTTGTTTTAATGAAATTCTAAAATCATCATTTGTCATCAAATACCAGCCAAACTGTAGACTTTTAAACCCCATCAGGCTGAGCGTGGGAGAAAGTGAGTGAGTGAGTGAGCGAAAAGACAGAGCCTTTGGTGTCGGCCAGAGGAGGTTTTTTGCATGTTGAGGACATGGTCAGGGGTTTTCAGCACAGACTTAGTTTTTCTCAGAATAGTCACCTGACCTCTGGGTCCCTCTTGCTGCACTACCCACATAGCTTGGTCCCCCAGAGGGGCTCGTCACCAGCCCATGGAGCCATAGGAAGGGCTGCTGGTCGAGAGGTGACAGGGGAGCTAGATTCGAGTGATGGAGCCACCTGGGGGTTCTGCACCCTCCAAACCCTTCTTTCAGACCATGTGGTCATTTCCACTAGTTCTGCTTTGCTGCCATCACTCTACGTGGGAGAGTGTTGGAGGTTTTGTCCACAGCCTCTCTGCGGCTCCTGTGCAGGATTGGGGCATTTCCCAGCTGGATGGAGCCTTGGAGAGGTGTTTGCTTCCTTTTCAGATTGGCCCTCAGATTCCTGGTGGGGAAGTAGTCGATGGGATAGAGCATCTCCCCCAACCTTTCTGCTGCCCACACAATACAAGCTGTTGTGGTATTTTCTTATTATTGCAGAATTTATGGAGATACATAGGAAGAGATTTCCTGCAAGGAATTGGCTTACAGAAATGTGGGGGCAGGTGGGGCAGCCCTGAAATCTAGGGGTCAGGCTGGCAGGAGGGGAGTCTGCATGTCAGGGTGAAGCTGCTGTCCACGGGCAGATGTTTTTGTCTTCCACAAGGAACCTCGGCTCTGTGTTTAGGGCCTTGCAACTGATGGGGTCAGGCCCACCTAGATTATCTGAAAATCCCTTTTACTTAAAATCAGCTGACTGAGAACTTCAGTCACCTCTACAACATATCCTGACAGCAGCACCTCCATTACTGCTGATAGAATACCTGGGATTGTAGCCTAGCAACAAGCTACAATCAGGCGGGCAACACTGACTCAGCAACACTGACTCAGCAAACTGAGCTGATGACCCCGGCTCTGATGCCTCACTTCCCTTTGGGCTTCGGCCTTCCTCCTTCCTCACCCGAAGTGACTGATCTGGACAGCACTTTCTTTTCTTCCAGGAAAAGTATAAGAATCTGGAAGCTTCTGGAGGCCCGCCCAAAAGATCTTGTACCCACACACCACATTTTCAACAGAACTCTCAGAGGGCCTTGGGGCTCTGCATCCTGTGTGCTCAGATGATTGTGATCATGCTCCCATTTTTTACAGACCAAATGCCTCAATTAAATCTTAATTATGTGCTATTTAATTTTCATAACCTTCAGTAATTTCTCTGTTTATCGACAAAGTATATTAAGCTTATAAGAGTGGCTTCTATGCTTTCTTCATTAAGATTTAAGGGAAATGTGATTTTAACAAAGAGATTTTGTGGTGGTTTCCTTGAATTAGCTTAGTTCTGTTTTTCAATTGATGGATTATTTCTGGTTTATGAGAATATGAAATAAGTGTAATGAGAAGAAAGAGTGTAGACTGTCATGGTAGGCTATTTCTCTTTCTCAGTCTTTTTAGAACAAACTTCAGCCCTGCTCTGAAATTCACTAGGTCAGTGAAGAATGAAGAGGTCAAATGAGACTCAGGAATGTTTTGGCAATAATTATGTTATTATATATGGTAATTATGTTGTTATATATGGTATTATTATTTATAAAAACTAACATATAGCCATAAAGTAGGACTCATGGTTCAGAGGTGACAGTGGAGCTGTATTCTAGTGATGGAGCCTCTGTATTCAGGCATTTATGCTTCTTTGGTGCTCATAACAGCCCATTTTACCGATGACAAAACTGAGGCACAGAACTCCAGATGGCTGAACCAATGTCACTAGTTCATAAGCACTAGAGACAGGATTTGAACTCAGGCTGTCTGGCACTGGCCTCCAGGCTCTTAGCTATGAGTGAAAGGGCTGCACACAAGATACTTGAGATATTTTGGGGTTCCAATCTATGATGCATCACCTCGGATGACAGTTTTTTGTGACCTTTAATTGTTTTGCATAATGAAGGAGAGATTGCTGCCATAAGTGAAAAACTACTCAGATGACTTGAAGTCGGCCCATTGGCAAAGAAAAGAGCGCTAAGAAGTGATGACACCATGTGCAGCCCGGGCCTTCACAGGTGCCGCTGGCAGCTGGCAGTTCAGAGCCACGGACACCTGCCTGCAGGCGACCTATTATTCCACACATCCCCGTGCTTCCCAGGTGGCTGGGATCTACCTGCCACATCCTCCCTCCTGCGTGTGCCGGGGCATAGGCTTTTAACATCCTGATGGATTTCTCCCTCTCTTTCACTTAAAAAACCGGATTCTCATCACCCAAAAGGAACATGGGATTCATGGCAAGTTTCAAGCGCCTATGGTTCTTTGGTAATTGCTTTACAAACACACACCTTTATAGCCACCTTTAGAATGTGGCTGATTTCAGGGAGTTTGGAAAGACTTTCTGGTGAGTCGAGGCAAAAAAGTGATTATCTGCAAATGCCATACCTGTGTCCTCACATCAGATTGCCGTGTTTTCCATCGCCCCTGCAGGAATGCTAATATGCCACATAGCTGCGTCTTTCACAGTGAACTCCCGGCTAGGATTCCTGCAAATGCAGGAGTGCAGAGGTTAGGAAGTGATTTTAGTAAGCCAGCTGTCAGAGATGTGTGTCGGAGGCAAGAACATTGCTCCTGAGTAGAGCACTGGGGACCTTGTTAACCTGCAGGTGCTGGTTCTTGGGTCTGGGTGGGGCCTGAGCTCACACCTCTAACACACTCCCAGGAGCTGCTGATGCTTCAGGTCCAAGTAGCAAGGAGCTAGAGGATTGCTCAGACTACTCATGGGAGAAGAACAAGAGAGGCCCACTGAGGAAACACCGGCCATGAACTCATATTTACAGGAACACTAACATGTGCACCACTCACGGCATCCATTTGCAGGGAGGGAGAGGGAACAGTGAGACTGGAATCATTGGCCCACAAGGGGCAACTTTCCTTCCTCATCCACCAGCCTAGTCCCCGGTTTAGAAGGCCGCTGTGATGCTTGTGTGATGGTGCGTGGCGTGGTTAGTGTATGGGATTGGACATCCCCTAAGGGGGTCTGTGGGGCGGAATTGGAATTGCAGGTATTTTCCCAACTGGTCTCACAAAACTAAGAAGAAAGGCATGCCCGTTGCACCAGCTTCGTGCCCTGTCCACATAAAACCATGCTGCTGTGTTGGCATCAAATATCTCTGTGAGTTTGCTTAAAGGTCACCTGAGTAGGCAGGTGCTAAAGTTCCTCATTTGATACTAGCCAGTGCTGCACTGCAGACGCTGAACTTACCCCGCCTAAAGCCCATTTTGGATTTCCATAGCAAATCTACCGCTCGGGCTGAGTAAGTAGTAGTAGTCTTTTCTAAAAAGATTCTGGTTGCTTTATTAAGATTAAGAGCGGAGATGCCAGACCCCACGTGAATGCCCAAGCCCCGCTGGGAGGTCATCTTTGACATGAGCCTGGCCTGTGCGTGGAAAAGAATATCATCACAGCCGAGGGCCAGGAGACGGCTGTTTAATCCTGTTTTCTTAATTAAATGGAAACAAAGTTCTTTAGACGCTGTTCTCTCGAGGTCAAGTTTCTCTCACTTACCGATAGCTGGGCTCATGATGCCTGCTTATATGGAGCTGGAATGGAAATTCTGATCGCTTTATTATCTCTTACCTACAGATGAGCTGGTGCAAACATTGGCTGGCATGGTGCCCTCTCCTTGGCGGGGCTGGTTCTGTCCTGAGTGTAGTTTGTCTGTTCTCTCCTTTTATCTCTTCCCCTTCACTGCCTTGCAACCACCATCTCTGCACTGGCCTCTAGACAGTCCGAAGGTGGACGATGGGCTGTGGCAACTGACCTACAAACAGTGTCTAGACACAGATGCATGAAAAGTATTTTCTCCTGAGAGTCTTCTTTTTAAAAAAAATATTTATTTTACCTGCACTTAAAGAAAGACAAGCCAGCTTTAGGGAGAAGAAGAGCAAACGAACTTGTGTTCCAAAGTACGTAAACCCTGCTGTCTATTGCAGGAGCTCACGCAGCATACTCTGCTGATTGGCAGCAGGGCACTGCCGTCTATGTTTGGGACCATCTTTGACTCCAAATCAAATTGAGAGCCTAGATTCCTGCAAACAGGAGGGACCATGGTGTCCTTCCCTCCGATAAACATTTAGTGGAGGCAGACACTGGCGGTGTTTGGTGCTGTGAAGATCAAGCAGACACACACACACACACACACACACACACACACACCACAGCGGATAGTTCCAGAGAGGGGGATGCATCACACCCAGGTCACAGTGGGCAGAGAACCCGTGTGGGGAGGAGAAACTTCCCGTGAGAACATCACAAGATCCAAGTCTGCTATACTGATTGGGTTTTGTCTTGTTAAAAAGGGGGGACGTGCAGGTGGGTGGGCGTGAGCAGATGGTGCTTCTGGGTGCCCTGCACAGAGAATGAGAGTCCCCTAATTCAGCCTGGGAGAGGGAAGGAGTGGCGACAGTCGGCACGATGGAGTCCAGTCTACAAGACACTCAGTGGCCTCCAGAGAGCAGAGGCGGGAATAATGTGCTATGCAAACACTCTGCCCCCATGCAGTGTTTACTAGCTTCTCAACTAGGCAACTCTGAATTATAATGTTCTTTTGCCACTGCCTTGCTCTGTGACCTTGAGCAAAGATCTCCCTCCCTTCCCCATCCGATCCTCAGCTAATCTAGCTGTAAAACTGAGGATCTCAACCTCGACTTTCTGTAGAGGGCTCTCAGTTGACCAGCAAATAACCCCAGTCTGACAGTTCTTGGTTGGTTGAGAAGTGCGTTGACCCCGCTACCCCCATGGCTCCCCCAGGCCAGGGGCAGGATATTCATGTCTCTCTTGTCCCTTCTGTGTTCCAGGAATAGAGCTGTGCCCCCCTGGAAAACGGTTCATGATCACCATGGTGGCAAACTTCGTGACCATAGCGGGGCAGCTCCTCATGCCCGGGCTGGCAGCGCTGTGCCGGGACTGGCAGGTGCTGCAGGCGCTCATCATCTGCCCCTTCCTGCTCATGCTGCTGTACTGGTCGTGAGTATCCCGCAGGCTGCCCGTGCCGCTGCCCGCATGCAGAAGGCCGTGCTTGCCCCACGAGACAGAGTCTACCCCTTGTCAGCTTGTGTTCTATGAGGGAATGCTGCTCTCTCTTTTTTATTTTATTTTATTTTTTTAAATGTCTTACCTTGGGAAATGTCCAGACCTACACAAAGAACATAGAAGATTGGAATGAGCCCTAGGTGTCCTTTGCCAGCTCTGACCATGTGCCCTCCACAGTCTGGTGTCACACCTGTTTGCTGGGTTATTCCGATGTGATTTTCATGAATGGATTTGCAAAGGGGGAGAAGCCATAGGGAGATGTTCAAGGAAATTCAGCAAAGCCGCCTGGTCTCCTCCGGATGATGGAGGGGCAAATGCCAGGCCCTCGGTCACCCCCTAGCAGCTGCAACCCAGGCTGTGTGGCCAACAGAGCTGAGAACACCTGCTGTGGTCCTGTGGGGAAGTTCAGGAGGAATGTTAGGGCCATGCGTACTTTTTGAGTTTCTAAGTTTTAAGTTTGGGGCTTGCTGACTTCAGGGAAAAAGAAGCAGCTAAGCACACTGGTTTTAAGCTATGACTTGGGCAACTAGATTTTTAAAACTCCCAGGGGATTACCGTGTAGCTGAGATTGAAACCACCACTCTTAGACAGTTGTTTGGGGGAAAAGGAGTGTCCTGGCCTTTTTATAAATAACCCTTCTCTTTCTCTGCCTTCGTCCCCTCTCCACACACACACCCCCCTCACACACCCCTCATGCCAACACTCTTGCTTCCCCACAAGTGCAGGGTACCGTCGTGTAGATTAAATACTGCGCTATTTCTATTTCTTCGTCACCAGTGCAGCCAGATGTCTGGCAAGAAGTCAGTCAGTGTATCTCAGCTTTGTTCACAGAGTGGAGAGGGCACTACTGGGGCTTCCTTTTCTTAACGGTGCCAGGGAGGAGAAGAAAGTCCCTGCCTTTTCACTTTGCCAGGGCCACCCACCCAGGCCGTCATCCCAGCAGATAAAAAATGGTGAGCGAGGCGCCTTTTCCTCTAGAGCCCTGCCCCTGCTCACGCTGTCACAGAGCCTCAGCAGCAGCGAGGAGCCTGAGGCCACCTGCTGGCGAGGGCCCCATCGGGCAGCTGCCACCCTGCGCTCCTCTCACCATGCCTCTGCCAGGCTTCTCGGCCTGAGGTCCTCCTGTGGGGACCACACAGGTTTCAGATCCTGTCCCTCCAGCAGGATGGCCCTGGCCAGTGTGGCTCCGTTGGCTGGGGTGTCCTCCCGGGCACCAAAGGGCTGCCTGTTTGATTCCTGGTCAGGGCACAGGCCTCGGATGCTGGATTCCCAGTGGAGGGTGTGCAGGAGGCGGATGATTGATGTTTCTCCCTCCCTCTCTCTCTAAAAATCAACGAAATATTTAAAAAATAAGAAGCAAAGAATGAAATGGTTTCTCCGGAGCAGAGAGCAGTGGGCAGCTCTTTCCTTAATCAGTCAGAGGAAGCCCTTTCCATTCCTCCCTTTTGCCCGGAGCTGGGCTGGGCTTGTTTTGGAATTCGGGACATTTATTTATTTAATAATGTTTATATAGTGTCTGCTCTGTGCCAGATGCAGATGCTAATGCTACACAGAGAGCAGGCCATTCAGTCTTCCTATTCACCACCCCGCTGAGAAGATGCACTTGTGCTTCTCCCACCTTCCCTCGCTGCCATCCACTTGTTCTGGGAGGGGCTCCCCATTGTCTAAGAGCATCTTCTTGTTTGGTCTGGCATTCCCCACCTCCCTCCCCTCACTCCCTGGCCTCCACAGCACCCAAGCGCACTGCTGGCCCCTTGGGGTTCGTGGCCTGGGATAGCACAGCCTTTTGGAGACCCGCTCTCCTGGAAGGGCAGGCAGGGCTGTCTCCTTTACCGTCTGGCTCTGAGTCTCAGCCCTGGTTCTGCTCCTACCTGTCCCAGGTAAGGAGGCACCTGATGGGGAGAAATAGCAGAGAAGGGTTTTCCTGGAACAGGTCTGGGATCTTGGCTCATGTGGGAAAGGGCTTGAGGGGGGTCATTTGTCCTATAGTTGTTCATTTAAATTTAAAATGCATCAGGGTTAATGACAGGCAAGGTGAGGCATTCATTTACTTACGTACATTATCAAACCTAAGGAAAATTCTTTGAAACAAAACTTTACAGTGGAAAGCGTATTCAGGGTACTCTGGCAAGTAAAATGTGTGTGTGGACAGTCAGTTGGATGGATGTCCCGATACATTGACACCATGTAGTTACTGCTCTGGCTCCACAGTCTGGATTGACCTGCTCTACTCACACATGTTAACTGCTGTGATCGTAATCAGCATTATTTTTTATTTATGTCATTATTTAAGGTGCTTGACGCATGTCTGGCCTACAGCAGGTGCGCACTAATATTAGCTACTGCTGTTACGATGATTATATCACCTCTGAACACGTGTGGCAGCCTGGGTGTATGGGCACGTAAAAGACACCAGGGGTGAGAGACATATTCCATTTCACCAGCAGATAGAAAGCCTCCGTAACAGTCATTGGCTTTTAAAGGCCCCTGCCGTGCCTCCCACCCACTGCAGGGGAAGCTGCGGCTCCCGAGGCTCCGGTTTGGCAGGATGAAGTGGGTTGCGGGGGAGATGGGGAGCTGAGCACCAGTCCCAGGATCAGCTATTGGTGACAAAATATTGAAAGTCACTTGCTTTCCTTTAAAGTGCAAATGTTTATTTTGTGAGCCCGGGGGGCCAGCAGTGCACGTGGTGCTTTGCAGTGACTCGGAGACTGTGCGTGAACCAGTGTCATAAACCAAACTGTATGACACAACCTTCACATCAAATCCAATTCCTAGCATTTCTGGTTTCAATTGTGGGATAAGCCGACAGGGACCCTCCAAATACACCTAGATGCCAACCAAGATACACATTGGCCAAAGTGATACACGGCACTGAGCTCCAGCACAAGACCCGGGAGTGCCCTAGGCCCAGACCACGCAGAGCATTGGAGCAGAACTGGCCAGGCAGCTGCAGGGCATCTGAACCAGAAAAAGGAGCTTGGGCTTCCATACCTGCACAGGGTCTGGAACTGAGCCCTCGGGCCATATCCTTAGACTCAGGCCCCTAAAGGAAACTAGGGGTCAGACTGTTGGTGAAAGCAGAGCTGAGGGTGGAAGAGTTCATCCCACCCAGAGATTTAGCCCCGAAGCTGGCTGACGGCCTGGAGCTGAGGGTGGAAGAGTTTAGCTGTAAACACTGGAGCCTCGATGTCTGCATCACACATGCTGTGCGCTCTGAATTCCAAGTCCTCTTTGAGGCTCGGACCTTAAGGAAAAGCCAACGAGTTCCTCAGACCCTCAAGGCCAAATGGAAACCACCCGGGGAGAACCACTGGGGCCAGGCACTCAAGACTCACTCGGAAGAAATGTTCGCCAAGAATAAGCTAACAGGCAGAATGCACAGAGCACATCACAAAGGCCAAAAGCTATAAATTGGGGAGCTTGCCTACCAGGAATCCCAGAAAACAGAGCCCTCTGAGATAAGCTCATTAGCTGACTTATTAAGTAGTTACTACAACCCCACACCAATTGCTGTTCTTGATACTAAGTATTCTAGATACTGCACATGCATAGGAGCAGGTCCCCACTCACGTGAAACCTCCCTTATGGTGGGGCTTGTGGGGTGGAAGGGAGCCCACTGAGGGAGCCCGCTGACCATGAAGCCATCAACAAGCGAAGGGCATGGTTTCACTAAGCAGCACCTGAGGACGGTGAGATGCAGGAACAGGAAGGGGCAGCAGGGTGATCAGGAAGAGCTGCTCTGAAGAGGCGACATTCCTTCCTGAGACCTACATGATCAGAAGGAGGAAGTCACACACAGTTCTGGGCGGAAATGTGTTCCCAGCACATAGGAGCAGCCAGGGCAACAGCTGGCTCCCACTCGGCTTTTTCTGGAAAAGGAAGTGAGGCCGGTGTGGCTGGAACATGAGGGCAAAGGGGAGAGGGCCAAGCTCAGAGGCAAATGGGTCAGACCACGTGGGGCCTGAAGCCCAGAGGAGTTCTAAAAGCAGGAAGACACGTTGGAGGTTTATGCAGGGCAGGATATGCTCTGGTACATGCTCTGGGGTCACTGTCTGCTGGGTGCCGAGTAGCCGTGGGTGGGTGAGGGTAGCAGAGGGCTGCCGCACTGGCTGGTCCATGAGAGGTGGTGTTGTGTCTGCCCTGGGGTGGGCGGGTGGTCACTGGCAGGGGTCTGACCCAGGTACACTCTGTAAGTGGCTTTGTGGAGGCTTGCCAGTGTGTCTGCGTTGGCAAGGTGGTTAAGGAGTGGTAGGAACTCAGGTTTGGATGGTTTGCTGAGACGGGGCTGGAGCTCCCTGAAACATGGAGGCCCTTGCAGGAAGTGGAGTGTGAAGTCCTGTCCGGAGAGTAGCTGGAAGGGTGACAGAAATGAAAACATGGGCTGAGGGGTGCTTTGAAAAGGAGGATTTTGATCTTGGGGACAATAGGGAACCACTGTAAGGAGAGCAGAGACTTGATGGAAACTACAGCCTGCATTAAATTACAGGGTTTATTAGCATCGAGGTCTGGTGAGGCCAACAGAGCAGGAGGAGAAGTCACGGAGTAGGTACTCAGTTCCTGGGAGGAGGGGCGCTCCACATCCTGGGGGCCACACAGGTGGCACCGGGGTGGGCCAGGAGGCTGAGGGGAGGAGCGGACAGGAGCCTTCACTGTGGTTTCCAGCCGATGAGGCAGGTGAGCAGGCTTCCTGTAGGCTGGTTTGAATAACTGCAGGGACTCTGGGCACACGGATGGTCTGGTACCTGGCCCTGGGTGGCTAAGGCAGGGGGATGGTGCCAGAGAATGACAGCCCCATAGAGGAGGTGGCTGGGGTGTGGTCTCTGGGTCGCGGGGTTTGTATTTGAAAGGTACACTCATATGTTAGTTGTTTGCTAACTATAGGAATTTCCCTCCCAGAAACATAAAAAACACAGGAAATAAAAAGGCATGAT